GGATATCCCTAGCAAGCCTTGGGGCTGCACCTGACTACACTGCACCTGTCACCCGACGGAACACCGGCAGCTCGGTATGAACTGTCTTCATATGGAAGCTTACAGCCCAGGGTATAGGTTGAATGACTGCTTTGCTGTGCTGGCATGCCAAGCTTGCTACCATGACAGATCACTTTTTTCTAGCTAGTGATGCATGACAGTGTTTCCCACTTATCTTTGCCACCAGTTGAAGTTTAAAAGTTTTTGCCTGCTCTGGCTTTTTCTCTCTTCTCACTACTTACTCTCACATTCCTCTCACACTAATTTAGCTGTGCATTAGATCTTCCATGCCGTGATACACTTGTGCTAGCCTACCACTAAAACTCTGTTTTATGCATTGCATTTGTTCCCATGATAAATATTGATTTATATACAGCAGTGAGTTGTTAGACTAACATGTATAGCCATGCCTATAACTATAATTCTAGGCGAACATAGCCTGTAAACTAATCTGACGCACATACTCTAGCAACTAGTACTATTATCCTGTTAATTTCTCATAAAAAAAAAAAGTGCTGTTCATTCTTGCCATTACATTGTTTGCCTTGAATGCCTGTGCTCGCTGTTGTGGCGCTACAGGTCTTTATGTTATATAATATTATGCACATGAAAAAAAAAGAATAAAAAAAAAAAAGAAAGAAAGATATTTATGACCCTCTCTGCAAGAATGGTGTCTATGTCCTATCAAACCTGTCTTATCTGCACTCAACCGTGTATGTATGTGTATGTATATGTGTGTGTATGTATGTATGTATGTATATGTGTGTATATATATATATATATATGTATATATATATATATGAGACCGTATCTCCAGAAGGATATTGATACTTTAGAGAGAGTTCAGAGAAAGGCTACTAAACTGGATTGCAGGATAAAACTTACAAGGAAAGGTTAAAGGATCTTAACATATAACATATAGGGTAAGATATGAGGGAAAATGAGAGAGGGGGAATATGATAGAAACATTTAAATACATAAAGGGAATCAAAACAGTAAAGGAGGAGACTATATTTAAAAGAAGAAAAACTACCACAACAAGAGGACATAGTCTTAAATTAGAGGGGCAAAAGTCCCAGACTAACTGATGATATCTGTACAGTTCTGCAAGTCAGCACTGCACAGAGCTATTCAAACTAATTGATAAAACCACATTTTTTTTCTGGGATGTAGATAGCTTTGGGGAGACCCTCCAGGGTCTGAATAGACCATGACAGTGTATCCAAGCTTGTCCTCAGCCAAGTGGGATAAGGGCTGGGTTTTGCCAGTTGTCAGCACTGATCTCTCTATAATCGGCTGTGAACCAGGCTTTAATCAGATTTACATTTAGTGTAATTCCGAAACAGTAGATGGTAGCAACACACCACCATGTACTTTGTTGAATAATAAATCCCATTTATAATATTAGGATCAATATTATTAGTGGGTTAACTTTAGGGTTAGGATTTGGGTTAGTGGTGGTGTTAGTGAAGGGTTAGGATTCAATTTAGAGGTAAAAATAGGAAAGGATTACACTTGGGTAGTGTTAGGGTAGGGTTAGGGTTAGAATAGGGTTAGTGTAAGGTAAGGGTTACTTCTAGGTATGTGTTAATGATGCTTTAGGATTAAAGATATTGTAGGGGTGAGGTTAAGGGTAGGCATACAGTTAGAGTTAGTGTAAGCATTAGGTGAGAGGTATAGCATTCTTTCGGTCCTTTAAATAATTTGATATACACCTGGAGAGAAGATGCAGTGGGTAAACATAGAAAATAGTATAATATCCAAGGACACATTAGCTGAACTCCTCTGGACCCTGAAACACTTGAGACCTAAGACGCCCAATCTACTGCCAATGACCTTACTTGCCCTGCACATATGGGACATTTTCTGAAACACTAATAAAGCAACTCAAACACAATTCCTCCCGCTGGCCCTGGAGACCATATAACCATGGCTATCCTTACAACTATAAAAAGAGTGGGGGATATGCATATCAAAGACCTCTGCTGCCAAACAACTATATTACTGTTCCCAGACTTGCAATTGCAGTATGACCTTCCCAATTCCTACATTTATCCATACCTACAACTAAAAAGTATAATCTCTGCAAAAGTAAATATAGGTGCTTTACTCAAGACCCAAACAAAATATTTGCTAGTTCTGTATTATAGATGTTGTCGTAGCCCCACCGAGCCTAAAACCCTCTTCTATGTTATAAAGCCTTATTAGATAGCATGCCAACAAAACCCTTCTCATATAAGACACAATGGCAGCAGAGTTTTAAGGTCACTTCAGACTCACAATGGCTCCAAGTCCTAAATGCTTTAAAAGGGATAACCTCTTGCTACTCCCATATGGAGGCACATAAGAAACTAATGTACTGCTGGTATCGCACACCCAACCGACTGTGACAGACCGCCTGGCACCCTGACCAGGGGCCTCTGCCAATCGATGCTCACTAGGGCTCACTGAGTACTTCCAGCACTCCACCAGACACCATCAGCACTCTAGTCCCCACGTCCAGTGTTACAGCTTGGCTGGGAACTCACCATCCTCCACGCACCCTGGACCCAAAACCAGGATCTAGCTTCCAGTGGGTGAAACTCTCCTACTCCAGAGAGTGTAGCAGGCTGCTCTTAAAATAGCAAGTGATTATAGCACTCCAAAGACCAATCCCATAAGTAGGGATTATAGCAGGTATAGCTGTTCCCTTAATAATGAGACGAGGGGGCTGTGTTGAGGGTAAGCAAGAACTCCTTTATTGGTAGCCACAACTGGCCTTCTATGCAAGTCCCCAAGCAAGGAGCACTCCCACCTGGACCTTGTGGGGAACTGCAGCACAAAGTCACAGATCAATGACAAAGGTGTTTAAATACATGACACTCCCATATACAATCATACACTCCCTCCACTCTGCCTGGGAGATAATTGAGTCAGATACAGTAGTAACTCACTTATATCCAGGCACAAAAATACACAAGTTTTATAAAACCCCAAAAGTATCTCCAAAAACTCATGGAAACCCCATGAGGAAGTGCGGCTGATACCCACAAAACGCGTAAGACAAGCTAACAATTTGAGAGTGAGCAGGATACGGAGAACAGCCAGCTGCCAGCAGAAAGAACGGCTTCTTTCCCCGTACAGTTCTCACGATCTGGGGACCGACGGACTGCCGGCATTTGACAATCAAAGTGAGGTTTGGGACGCACGCCAACCTCGCAGCAGCCGGCAAGTACAATCATTCAGTCCTGACACACAGTATCCACTGAAATCCTCATTAGTTACAGTGGTTATCAGGGTATATGAATAATATTTATGCTGGCAATTGACTTGTGGATCGTTCCTGGCTCTCATTTTTTGTATTTTTTACTTTTATTATATTTTATACATTTTTCAACTATTCTTTCATTTTTTGAATACATTACCAATAAATAAATTTTTACATCATTTTAATACTTTTTCTTATAGTGATTTTTTGGAATCTTCATTGATCTATTTCAATTTGACTTTAAGTATAGAGATCAAGTGTTTTATATATCTCTCTATTGTAAGTTAAATATTGTTTTTTGCACCATTTAGTGTGCCACCAGATGATTTAAAGCAATACTCACCGTATATTATTGTGTGTATAATAATACCATACAGATAACTATTCTTGATGTTCCTGATGTTGTTATTCTGTAATAAGTAGTTGCTTTATATTAAGCAGAATATTTGGCGTGTAACAGATAGAATCTGGCTCTAGCAGATTTAAAGGTATACACACCACACATATTTTCTCTCCACTACTATCAATTGTCTTAGATGTCGACATAACTATTATATTAAATTGCATCAATCAAGCCATATTAAAGTGAACTAGCTCCTGAACACATTGCCTTGAAGGTATTACTGTCCATTAATGGAAGGTATGTCTTTAGCGGTGTTTGCGCCGTGTCCGATTTGAGTTCCATGCACTCAACGACCAAACACGGCTAAAGATGGCCACCGCCACGTGTTCGTAAGGTCGAACAGCAACCACCCAGCCAATAGCCAATTAAGTTGCGGTTTCATGTGTATCAGGGAGGTTAATAGGCTGCACACTCAACTTGCGGGCGGTCCGACTGTTCGGTAGTTTGTTCGATATATGAACACAAACCCCTAATCTGTTCGGTAAGTTCAGTATACCAAACCATATGAGTCCAAAAGGCACGAACAGTGCCCATAGGCCTGTTTCTGTTATATCCGATAACCTGTTCAAAACAAGACAAACAAATAGCAACTACAGTGATCTTAGCAGGTAGGAACCTAATAGCGTTGCATTGGAAAAAGCAAAACTGCCCTTCGTTGACAAAGCTCCACGCAAAAAATCCAACAATATTATCTCTTTGAGAAGTTCACCTCAGCGACTCATATAAAAGTTAAAAAATGGGTATGGATTCCTCTACATCCAATAAGGTACAAGGGCATTTACATATTTACACTATGAATAAAGACTCACATGTGCAGTGGCTATGTATATGGAATTTGATCCACACTGTGTCAGTAGATGCTTGTATGAGTTAGAAGTTGGTGTGTGGGTGAGTGTTAAGTGCCAGATAAAAAATATTTTTTTTTTTGTTAGTGGGGGCTTTGAAGGAGGCACAACATATGGACTTGTCCCAATGCACCACATTATCTTTCTACACTCCACAGCATGATTATTGTTCTTTTAGGGTTGTGATTGGATAAAACATCGCCAGGTGAAGTTAGACCTCTTTAAAATGGACAGGTCAGAACTAACATTAAAGAAAGAAAGCAAATGTATACATAGGATTTCAGCATAATGAACATATGCCAAATGCAATGGTGCCATTTAATTTCCTTATTCTATCAAATAGACTCTCTAATCATATTACAAAGTATTTAGTATGAGATGAAGGAACAGTAATATTTTTTTTCATTTCATTATTTCTTTTATGTACATCCGTGAAGATCTTGACACCATCAAACAGGAAAGAAGGATGGGGCTAGAGCACCTTAAGAATATCATAATACTTTCCATTGGATTTCTCCTTCTGGCTACCGCATACGGAGGACTGCAAACTTTACAGGTAACAAAACAAAGAAATCCTTTAAAAAAAATTATATTTATTATATGGAACTTGTTATTTACATCTTAATCCAGTATTTTATCTTATTTCAATATCAAGTAAGTGAGAAAGATATTGATTTGACATTTTAAAAATCCACATCAATTTCATGAAGAGGCAATGACTGAACATACATACGTTATTATTATTATTATTATTATTATTAGTAGTAGTAGTATTTATATAGCACCAGCTAATTCCGCAACATTTTACAATATTATGAAAGGGGTAAATTTACAATAAATAAGACAATTACACGGTGAAACAGAAACAATATGTAGAGGGCTCTGCTCAAACAAGCTTACAGTCTAGAGGAGGTGGGGTGCAAATGCACAACAGGGCAGCAAGGGTGACAGCCACCAAACAAGGTGGAAAAGTAGCAGAGCTGGAGGTGAAAGTGGAGTATGGCTCTTTTAGGAGAGCAAGAGACAGATTTGGATAAGTATAGATAAGTTACTCATAAGCATTTCTGAACAGATGTGTTTTGAGGGACTTCTCAAACAATTGAAGACTGAGGGAGAGTCTGATGGGGGTAGGCAGGCTGCGAGAAGGCAGTAGTGGTGCAAGCAGTAATGGTGCGAGACGGCAGACTGGAGATGGTCACAGGTAGAGCAGATAGACAGAGAAGGGACATATCTATGAATAAGAGAAGAAATGTAAGAGCTTTATAGGTAAGGGTTAGTATTTTTAATTGACACCTATAGGATACAGGAAGCCAGTGTAAGGATCGTCAAAGGGGCGAGGTATGGGAGGAAGCATAAATTACCGATTGTAGCAGGGAAGTTGAGCTTTAGGGGAGACCAACTAGGAGAGAATTACAGTAGTCTATGCAAGAGATTACCAGAGCATGAACAAGCTCCTTGGCAGCATCTTGCGTGAGAAAGGGGCGGATGCAAGCTATATTTCTAAGGTGGAATCGACAGATTTTAGCAACATACTGGATGTGTGGTGCAAAGATGAGGTCAGGATCAAAGATAACACCAAGACAATGAGCTTGCAAGGATGAACTGATGCAAGTACTGTGACGCGACCAATCTCGCCACATTGCATTGGAGAAGCCTGGTTGCTCGCCTGTTGCCTTTGGATTATGGCCCCATGTTAAAAGGCTTGATTTTTCCCTGCAAAGACATGAAAGCCGGGCCATTTGGTGCTTGCCCTGTTTGAGCGGTGATACCCCAGATAGCTATGCCATGGAGCCTATTCGTATAATGAAAGACTATGGGAAAGACTTTGGCTCCATGGCAATTGAACTGTATGTGTGTGCTCTGAGCGCCATTCAGTAATAATGTGCGCTCAGATCTGAGCTATCTGGGGATATGTTGAATGTACCTGTTTTGTGCAATGGCTGCACAGTTATATGTTTTTATGTGTTTTATTGTCTTTTGCTGCCATGTGTTCAATGGAGTTTTGCTTCTGTCTTTGGAGATAATTGGATTACTTCCCAATTATCTCCAGGATAGAAGACTCTGTGGAACTGGTTTTGGGCAGAAAAGCCATGCTTCCTTTGGTCACAAAGGACTACGATCTATCTTTTGAACCATTGGACCAATTTGTATGAATTTGACATATGTTTGTATTGGGAGTATGCTGATTCTGAAAATGTATGTGTCATTCTGAAAATGCATGTGTCAGCGTATGTGAATGTGATGCATACTTTTCAAGTTATGAATAATGTGGAGAAATTGTATTTCTCTGCTTGTTATAATTACATTACCCATTGTGTAAGGTAATTGAATCACAGGCAGAGGGGAGGAGGATTTTGTGTGGGAGTGTCTGAGTGTATTGTATGTGTTTATTGGTTGTGTTCCAAAACCCTGTGGGTGGTACTAATGTGTATATAAGAACAATAAACCCACAGCTCTGACTGTTCACTGCTTGACCCTCAACACGGAGCTTTGTCTCGTTCTTGGGGGGATTTATTGTATGCTGTTCCAGTTCAACTGCTAGGAGTGTAAACCTATTCGTTTGGTTTTTCCTATTCGGCTGTTTACGGCATTCATATGGTTTCCTGTTCGGCGGATTGGTGTTCTGCAGTAGCTGTGCCTGTGTCTCTGAAAGGGAAGATCTACTAAATGGCGGTTTAACCCTTGTATGCCTGGGGGTGCCGTTACAAGTACCAAATCCAATCAGAGATTGAAGAAAGGCAGGCAGTGACACATACACACACACACACATACCATGACAGACACAAACCGTGACACAGACACACACATACACCGTGACACAGACAGAAACACACACACACCGTGACACAGACAGAAACACAGACACACCATGACAGAAAGGCACACCATGACACAGACAGACACACACACCATGACAGAGACACACACACATACCATGACAGAGACACACATTAAAAAAGACACACACACACACACACACCTTGACACACACACAGCATAACACAGACAGACTGTAACACAGACGCACACTCACCGCGACACAGACACACATTATATGACACAGACACACACACCATGACACACAGACACACACACACCACGACACAGAGAGACCGTGACACAGACACACACACATACCATGACAGAGAAAGACATTAAAAAAGACACACACACACACACCTTGACACACACACACCATAACACAGACAGACTGTGACACAGACACACACCCACCATGACACAGACACACATTACATGACACACACACCATGACACACAGACACACACACATCACGACACAGAGAGACTGTGGCACAGACACACACACACACACCATGACACAGACAGACACACATTACATGACACAGACAGACACACACACACCATGACATACAGACACACACACACCATGACAAACACACACACACACCATGACACAGACAGAGTGTGATACAGACAGACACACATTACATGACAGACACACACACACACAATGACACAGACACACATTGCATGACACAGACAGATGCACACACCATGACAGAGAGAGATGCACACACCATGACAGACAGAGGTACACACACCATGACACAGACAGACACACACACACCATGACACAGACAGACACACACTCACACCATGGCACAGACGCACACACCACGACAGACAGAGACACACACCCACACACACATACACCATGACACAGACAGACACACACAATGACACAGACACACACACCATGACACAGACAGACACTCACACACCAGGACACAGACACACACACACACACACACCATGACACAGACACACACACACACCATGACACAGACAGACACACACACAAATTACACAGACACACACACACACATACACTCACACTGACACACATAATTGCTACCTGTGTGCTGGCATGGGGAGCTCTGATGGCGGCCACAGGGGGAGCTGGCTGTTCTGTCTCTGCTCCCCCACCCTCGCACTGCTTAATGAGACAGGGGCCAGAATATGACGTAATATTCCGGCCCCCGTCTCATTAAGCGGCGCGGTGGGGAGGGGAAGCAGAGACAGAACAGCCAGCTCCCCCTGCGGCTGCCAAAAGAGCTCTCCCTGCGACCGCCAGAAGAGCCAGCTGCCTGCCCGGACCCAGGTGCCGATGGCCCACCGGGAAATTTCCCGGTATCCCGGTGGGCCAGTCCTGCCATCACTCTCCGCCCGAACATTAGTTCAAATGGGGAGAACCCAGTCGATTCCTGTGGCAACTCCTGATAAGCGAACAGGAGATGGGGCAGGAATTTTTCCCAATCCTTACTTGTTGCTGCAAAGGTACGGATCATTTGCTTCAACGTACTATTGAAGCGCTCGCACAGGCCATTGGCCTGCGGGTGGTAAGGGGAGCTCAGGATCGGTTTAATGCCGCATAATTTCCACAGTTGGTGGGTCATTGGGTGCCCTGGACTGAGAGAATCTCCCGGGGAAAACCCATCCGGGATAACATTCGCATCAGGGCTTCAGCCACAGTCTCTGCCTGGATATTGCTTAGGGTGACTGCATCGGGGTACCGAGTCGCGTAGTCCACGATGGTCAGAATGTACTTCTTCCCAGAGGGACTACGCTTCCCCACTTTCTGGAAGACATCGCAGGTCTGGCAGTACTGCCTCAGATCCTGAGAGATGCCGGGCCAGAAGAATGTTTGGGTGAGCCGAGACACTGTCTGGCCACTGCCCAAATGTCCTGCCAAGTAGATTTCGTGAGATAGCTTCAGTAGCTCAGACTGATACTTCTTGGGCACCACCAGCTGCCAATGGTAATAGGGGCTGTAACTGGTTCTTTCCTCACTGCTATGCTGTATAAATACCCTCCTCTTTCCCTACCTCCCCTGTGGGTTCTCTGTCCCTGTATCCTTGTAGGTTCGGGTCGGAGGCTACCTCCTTCTCAAACTCAGCAGGGATATCCCGTATGGGGACCGGGTCAGGGATAGGATCCCAGGGCTCTGGGGCTAGGTCCTGGTGTAGGGAAGAAATGGCACCCAGAAGGAGGGGGACTGAGTCGGGGGGCTCGCTTATGGGGCCTTCTACGGGACCTTGGGGAGTGAAAAGGGGCACATGTGCCTACCTGGGCCTCAGAGTGTGAGCTGACTGGGGGTGTGAGCCAACTGGGGTGGTACGGGCTTGCTGTCTGGACATCGCTGTTGGGACTAAAGGCAGAGGGAAGGTGTGCCAGGTCAATGCCGAGAAGAACTTCGGCGGGAAGTCAATCCATGAGGCCCATTTTGACCTTCTAGGCTACAGCTCCCCAATCCAGGTGGACATGGGCAGTGGGTATATAGTGAACGTTCCCTCCGGCCACTCGAACGGCAACAGTATCCTGTCTTTTCTTCCACAGGGACAAGCTGGGGTTGCACCAGAGCTAGAGTGACTCCTGTGTCTTGTAATCCTTGGACCTTGTGCCCGTTAAGCCGCACTGCCTGTCTCTGTGGTGGTCCCGGTTATCATGTGCAGCCTGAGCGGGTTTGGACTCATGTAGAATGGTCCAGGCTTCATCATCGGGGCACGGAAACTCTGTGGGGTCATCGTGGTAGCAGACAGCTGCTGCTTGTGGGTTGGCAGGGACTACGGGGGTGACCTACTGCGTTTTGGTGGCAGTTGACTTTGACGTGGCCCAATTTGAGGCATTGGAAGCAGCGCCGTTCCACCCTGGGGTAGACTCGCTGGGGGGGTGCTCGTACCAGGGGTCCACGAAGGGGAGCCGCAGAAACTGAGCTGCGTTGGAGCAGAGGCCGGGCGGGTGGTCGGTAGCTGGGAGAGGGAGCAGGGTGATGGGACCGGCAAGTATCAGCATATTCATCAGCCCATTTGGCTACTTCGGTGATGGTTTTGGGTTGTCGGTCTCTTACCCATTCCTGCATCTCTGTGGGGAGCCCACTGTAGAAATACTTGAGCATGAAAGCTTGGAGTATCGGGGGATTTGGCTTGTTGGGAGGCCATCCAGCTGAGGGTGGTTTAGATGATACGGCATGCCCTCTCTGCATGGGAGTCCTTTTCGCCTTTCTTGATCCCCTGGCACTTCCTGCGGTTACGCCTCCGGGGTTACAATGAACTGTGCTAGCAGGACTGCTTTGACCGATTTGTATTTATGGATCTGGTCTGTCAGTACATATCGGTAGGCCTCTGCCGTCCGCCCAGATAGGGTTTTGGCCAAGATAGCGACTTCCTACAATAGACACTGTTGCTTGAAATCCTGCAGGAAATCATCTTTAAAGGCGGCAAAGGGCAATTTAGGGTTTTGGGTTGAGTTTTCTAGGGACCTCTCTCTTGTTCGTTTATCTGTCTGTAGGGGGTTCGCCCCATGCTTCTGAGCCAGAATAAACGCTTGGGTCTCAGAGATGAGCTTGGAGGCTCTGGGAATAGGGCCAAGTGCTGCCTTACTGCTTTGGTGACCGTTTCCTCTTCTCCCTCCGGCTGTGGAGTAGCTGCCTCCTGTCTTTGCTGGTCGTCTTCCATGAGTTCGGCAATCAACTCAGCCTTCTTACGATTTCCTGCCAACTTCCCTCTTGCTTCCAGCAAGTCCTCTAGATTTGTCTTTTAATGGTCCATGGGTCTGTTGGCAGGGACATGGGATCCCGCCGCTGCCACCAGTTGTAGCGGGCCCAAGGTAAATGGCTGGTTACCCCTGCTATTAATGTAGTAAGAGACCCATTTGCCCCAGTAACTGGATGACACACAGTTCCAGGGGTACAACGTTTCACAATCTTTATTAGGTCACACAGCTTTTTATGCACAGACCCCTACAGGAGGTTTCCAGCCAACAAAACACAATCCCAGGGGGCTGAGATAACCATTTCCTGCTCTGGGAGATACCAATAGTACACATGAAAACACATTACATACAGGGGTTGACCTTTTTTTGGCTCGGCACCCCAGGGGTTACAGGTTTGGTTAGGATCCCTGCAAAAAGCGGGGCGATCGGATGTACAGAGCCTTAGATATCAGCATCCAAAGTCTGGGGCTCGAGGCACTGTACATCGCCAAAATAAGTTCCATGGTTACTTGGTTTAGTACAGCGAATTCAAACTTTGCGCCTAAACCAAGCAAGAATCAATCATCTGAAAGGGCGCAAACCAAATCGCGGCAATCAACGCTCAGGGGAGGAAGGAGTTTCGCTGCCCAATCCTAAGAACAGGCGCGAAACTCAGGTTGCACCAATCGGTGTTCGGGAGGAGGGGGTTTCGCGGCCCAATCAGAAGAAAGGGCGCAAAACCTTTTTTGAAGGGCACTCCTGCTCTGATAGGTTGCCGGCACCTCACAGCAACCAATCAGCGCTCCCTCGTGCCGACCAACCGGGAGGATGGCGCAAACCCAATTTGAATGGGCGCTCCTTCTCCCATTGGTTGGCATGGACTTCCACACTGCCATCGGGACCCTGCGGCCATGAGACTGACTCACAGCCCCAGGGATTCCCTGCTGCTGAGCGTCCCTAGCCTCGTAGCTCCCAGGTAGGGGAAATCAATGATCACAGCTCCACTGGAGAGCAGTTAAGATGATCCCCAACACGGGGATCGAAGACAGTGTGTGGAGGCTGGTTCGGGATGCAAACGCTCCCCCTGGTGGCCATTCGTTGATACGCACTGGTGGCCACTAAGGGGAAGCACACACCGCTTGTTAGCGAGGTGTGAACATTCTTACACACGTTCTAAATGAAGTATTGGGGAGGTCTGGCGCACTGGGTTCCGTGCACCGGAGCGCCCCTGCGTGGTTGAATCTTGCGGTCTGGGGTTTTCACGCCTTGCTAGCGAGGTGTGAACATTCCAACTAAACATTCTAAATGGGGTATCAGGTGGAGCCCCGTGCGCCGGAGTGCACCCATGTGGTTGAAAATAAATTTTCTTGATTAAGTGTAACAATTGCAAAAAAGGGAAAAACTACAAAGGTGAAACACACATTCCAAGGGTGCACATCCACAAATAGGAAAGGATAATTCATGCTTAGGCAGCAATCCCGCCATAAGTTCAAATTACAGATTTGAAACCTCTCTCCCAAAGTAGGAGACAAAAATGGGAAAGACTACAAAAGGCTTAACTTTAACTTAAACTGTTTTATCACTTGCTCTCTCTCAGAGGCTGTTGCGTGTGCCAATTCCTGCTGTACCCCTGGGGTACCTAGGTGCTCCCTATCTAGCGGGAAAACAACCTCAATTGCTAGGTAGGTAGTGCCATATTGTAACCTATGTTAGTGTATAGTGATGTCCCGAACCGTTCGCCGAACCGTTCGCCACGGATGGCGAACATATGCGCTGTTCGGTCCGCCCCCTATGTCATCATTGAGTAAACTTTGACCCTGTACCTCACAGTAAGCAGACACATTCCAGCCAATCAGCAGCAGACCCAAACAGACCCTCCCACCTCCTGGACAGTATCCATTTTACATTCATTGTGAAGCTGCATTCTTAGTGAGCTGTCCAGGAGGTGGGAGGGTCTGGGAGGGAGGGTCTGCTGCTGATTGGCTGGAATGTGTCTGCTGACTGTGAGGTACAGGGTAAAAGTTTACTCAATGATGACATAGGGGGCGGACCAAACAGCGCATATGTTCGCAATGTGCCTGTGTGGGCCGGGGAGAGGAGATCTTCCCTCCGGTCCATGATGGCAAACAGCAGGGCTGGCGCTTGGATAGTGCCAGACCGGCATGGGCCGGCAGGGGAGACCCTCGGCCTTACTATTTTCTTGGGGGGGGGGGCAACTGCTCCATTGCCCCCCCTTGGACCTGCCACTGCACTGCCCCCCCTCCCCACCACTCTAATACACTTTCCCCAATTTAATTCACTGCCCCCTCCATCAAATTAATACACTGACCCCCTCTCTCTCTCAAATGAATACACTGCCCCCTACCACCCTCAAATTAATTCAGTGACCCCTTCCCAATTTAACACACTACACAGGAAGGTTTCCCATGCCCCTCTTAAGATGAGCTACCCATCCTCCAGTTCCAGTCCTGCTCTTCTCTGCTCAAACAGGCTAGATGCTCCTCTGGCACTGCAAGCAGGAGGGAGGGGGAGTGGCTGCCGTGCTCTGCAGCAGGCAGGCACTCTGCACTCTTGCAGACATGGTAGGGAATACAGCCACAGCACAAAGTGGCCCCAGGGCTGGATCTAATCCCCCGAGGCTGCCTGGGCATCCTTATCTTAGCAACAGCCCTGGTTCAAGCTCTGCACAGTGTACAGGAGTGGAAAAATGATGCCCCTGTCAAAGTGCCTTCTGAAGCCATGGGTCCACTGGAGCCAATGGACAGGTCGGCCCTGGAACTGATGCTGACAAAAAAAATCTGAAATTTTAATATTCCACTATGCTTTTGTAATATTGTTAATAGACTACAGACTTTTCACATTGTTACAAAGAAATTAATCAAAATGATATATTTGGCTGTGCAGAATACTTGTTCATATTATGATACACTGAGTTCTGGGAGCAAAATAAAATATTCTAGTAAAGTATTATACATATTAAACAACAAAATAGTGCATAATAACAATAATTAATAATACAATATAAAATACTGGCTTCCACCCGCTAAATATAGGTGACTTTGTGGATATAATACAGGGGGTGCAGAATTATTAGGCAAGTTGTATTTTTGAGGATTAATTTTATTATTGAACAACAACCATGTTCTCAATGAACCCAAAAAACTCATTAATATCAAAGCTGAATATTTTTGGAAGTAGTTTTTAGTTTGTTTTTAGTTATAGCTATGTTAGGGGATATCTGTGTGTGCAGGTGACTATTACTGTGCATAATTATTAGGCAACTTAACAAAAAACAAATATATACCCATTCCAATTATTTATTATTACCAGTGAAACCAATATAACATCTCAACATTCACAAATATACATTTCTGACATTCAAAACAAAACAAAAACAAATCAGTGACCAATATAGCCACCTTTCTTTGCAAGGACACTCAAAAGCCTGCCATCCATGGATTCTGTCAGTGTTTTGATCTGTTCACCATCAACATTGCGTGCAGCAGCAACCACAGCCTCCCAGACACTGTTCAGAGAGGTGTACTGTTTTCCCTCCTTGTAAATCTCACATTTGATGATGGACCACAGGTTCTCAATGGGGTTCAGATCAGGTGAACAAGGAGGCCATGTCATTAGATTTTCTTCTTTTATACCCTTTCTTGCCAGCCACGCTGTGGAGTACTTGGACGCGTGTGATGGAGCATTGTCCTGCATGAAAATCATGTTTTTCTTGAAGGATGCAGACTTCTTCCTGTACCACTGCTTGAAGAAGGTGTCTTCCAGGAACTGGCAGTAGGACTGGGAGTTGAGCTTGACTCCATCCTCAACCCGAAAAGGCCCCACAAGCTCATCTTTGATGATACCAGCCCAAACCAGTACTCCACCTCCACCTTGCTGGCGTCTGAGTCGGACTGGAGCTCTCTGCCCTTTACCAATCCAGCCACGGGCCCACCCATCTGGCCCATCAAGACTCACTCTCATTTCATCAGTCCATAAAACCTTAGAAAAATCAGTCTTGAGATATTTCTTGGCCCAGTCTTGACGTTTCAGCTTGTGTGTCTTGTTCAGTGGTGGTCGTCTTTCAGCCTTTCTTACCTTGGCCATGTCTCTGAGTATTGCACACCTTGTGCTTTTGGGCACTCCAGTGATGTTGCAGCTCTGAAATATGGCCAAACTGGTGGCAAGTGGCATCGTGGCAGCTGCACGCTTGACTTTTCTCAGTTCATGGGCAGTTATTTTGCGCCTTGGTTTTTCCACACGCTTCTTGCGACCCTGTTGACTATTTTGAATGAAACGCTTGATTGTTCGATGATCACGCTTCAGAAGCTTTGCAATTTTAAGAGTGCTGCATCCCTCTGCAAGATATCTCACTATTTTTGACTTTTCTGAGCCTGTCAAGTCCTTCTTTTGACCCATTTTGCCAAAGGAAAGGAAGTTGCCTAATAATTATGCACACCTGATATAGGGTGTTGATGTCATTAGACCACACCCCTTCTCATTACAGAGATGCACATCACCTAATATGCTTAATTGGTAGTAGGCTTTCGAGCCTATACAGCTTGGAGTAAGACAACATGCATAAAGAGGATGATGTGGTCAAAATACTCATTTGCCTAATAATTCTGCACTCCCTGTATATACGCACACATATACACTGCTCAAAAAAAATAAAGGGAACACTTAAACAACACAATGTAAGTCTATCGCACTTCTGTGAAATCAAACTGTCCACTTAGGAAGCAACACTGAGTGACAATCAATTTCACATGCTGTTGTGCAAATGTGATAGACAACAGGTGGAAATTATAGGCAATTAGCAAGACACCCACAATAAAGGAGTGGTTCTGCAGTTGGTGACCACAGACCACTTCTCAGTTCCTATGCTTCCTGGCTGATGTTTTGGTCACTTTTGAATGCTGGCGGTGCTTTCACTCTAGTGGTAGCATGAGACGGAGTCTACAACCCACACAAGTGGCTCAGGTAGTGCATCTCATTCAGGATGGCACATAAATGTGCATGTGTCTGCTCAAACGGTCAGAAACAGACTTCATGAGGGTGAAACGAGGGCCCGATGTCCACAGGTGAGGGTTGTGCTTACAGCCCAACACCGTGCAGGAGGTTTGGCATTTGCCAGAGAACACCAAGATTGGCAAATTCGCCACTGGCGCCCTGTGCTCTTCACAGATGAAAGCAGGTTCACACTGAGTACATGTGACAGACGTGACAGAGTCTGGAGACGCCGTGGAGAACATTCTGCTGCCTGCAACATCCTCCAGCATGACCGGTTTGGCAGTGGGTCAGTAATGGTGTGGGGTGGCATTTCTTTGGGGGGCCGCACAGTCCTCCATGTGCTTGCCAGAGGTAGCCTGACTGTCATTAGGTACCGAGATGAGATCCTCAGACCCCCTGTGAGACCATTTGCTGGTGCGGTTGGCCCTGGGTTCCTCCTAATGCAAGACAATGCTAGACCTCATGAGGCTGGAGTGTGTCAGCAGTTCCTGCAAGACAAAGGCATTGATGCTATGGACTGGCCCGCCCATTCCCCAGACCTGAATCCAATTGAGCACATCTGGGACATCATGTCTCGCTCCATCCACCAACGTCACGTTGCGCCACAGACTGTCCAGGAGTTGGCAGATGCTTTAGTCCAGGTCTGAGAGGAGATCCCTCAGGAGACCATCCGCCACCTCATCAGGAGTATGCACAGGTGTTGTATGGTGTTGTCATACAGGCACGTGGAGACCACACAGACTACTGAGCCTCATTTTGACTTGTTTTAAGGACATTACATCAAAGTTGGATCAGCCTGTAGTGTGTTTTTCCACTTTAATTTCGAGTGTGACTCCAAATCCAGACCTCCATGGGTTGAAAAATTTGATTTCCATTTTTTTATTTTTGTGTGATTTTGTTGTCAGCACATTCAACTATGTAAAGAACAAAGTAATTCAGAAGAATGTTTAATTCATTCAGATCTAGGATGTGTTATTTTTGTGTTCCCTTTATTTTTTTGAGCAGTGTATATAAAATACAAATGTTTAAAACACACAAAGTATCATAACAACATACAAATGGGGTTTCATCTTATCCTAGGTAAAAAAATAATAGTGAAGTATTGTAACACCAAAGATATTGAAAGCTAATTGGTTGCACTCACAAAATATTTGAAGTTTAAAATGCCTCAAACCCTCTCAGCGGTTTTCCTTGTGGGCTAGTAAAATGACTCCTTTTGTCAGATATATTGCAAGTGAAAAAGGCTGATCAGGAGGAGCCTTAAAGGGGTAGCTGCCAACTTTTTAGTAAATGCTAAGTATATAATTATATCTATCTTTTATGCTTCTTTTTGTCAATTTTTTTTATATACAAAGTATCATAATCATTTACAGCTATTTGAAAGGATGTTGCAGATCACACAAATAAACAATTCAATTAGTCACATCCTTTTAAATATCTGTACATGCTTGATATATTGTGTCAATTATTAGATGAAGTATATCTCATTAATGTGGCAGTGTTGTATTTCTCCAAACAAATTCATTTGGGTTTAACTAACGTTATTTCTTTTTACAGAGTAGCTTGAACCCGGAGAAAGGCCTTGGTGTTGCATCATTAAGTGTTGTCTACGGATGTCTTATATGTTCTTCTCTTCTTCTCCCACGTATTCTTATAAAGAAAATTGGTTGCAAGTGGACAATTGTGGCTTCCATGTGCTGTTACATCACATATTCGGTGGGAAATTTTAAGCCCAACTGGTACAAAATAATTTTATATATTTTTGTTTTATCCATAAAATGCATTTGAATAGATTGTAAATGTGGAGTCTTAGTATGAACTGGAGAAACATATCATATTACAGGTTTAAAAATGTCCGCTCGCGGGGCAGGACCTGACATCCAAGCGGAGCAGTTGCATTTCTGGCGAGCTCCTGCAACAAGCACTGATTTGAGGCACTAAAAGGCCACCAACCTGCAGATCAGACCGTGCAAAATAAACAGCGTGATAAAGGGCATCCTGACAAACCCGCTAGTGTCAAACTATTGACGCTACTCACCAGATTGTCTGATTCCTGACTTTGCAGCTTACAGGCGGACCTGACATGGGAGGGACGGCCGCACTCCGGGCGTTCTAGTTGGCCAAGCAGACCAAGCTGATTTGATCTGCCCCCCCCCCCAGGGACCAGTGGGGGTTGACCCAGTCCCCACCAGGGAACACTACTACACCTCCCAAGCATAGCAGCTTATACTCACCTTACCGACAAGTGGTGAGTGGTGTACCCAAGATGGCCGCCGTACCAACTGACCACATGCCCTGCTGGGAGATAAAGTTCCAGGCGGCTTTCGAAACCCTGTGTGCAGCGTTGTGGACCCGGATCGAGTCCCACCAGCGGCAACCCACACTCACCTCAGCTAAGCCCATGGAGGACCCAAGCATGGCACTTCCATAAGGCTGAGGGCCAAGAAGAGCAAGAACGCCTCGCAGCATACGCCTGCGGTAAAGCATCCTTGCAGAGCCCCAACATGGAGAAATGCTCCCAGATGGGGACCTCGGTGACCTCGCCTACCTGTACGCGGCTCAAGCACACAGACAGCCCAGCACTCTCCAGCATCACGAAGACTCAGCCTGCCAATAGTGAGAAGAACATGTACCAGTGAACGCTGGTTGACAGCAATGAGACATACAGCCCAAGATGGTCCTGAAGACACAGACCACCTGCCTCAGCCCCTCAGCCTGGCCTGCTGGCTAAAGGCATTGAATGCCCACAGAACTCTGAGCCCAGTCTTTACTCCCTGTTTTCCTAATGTTTTTCTAATGTCTCTCTCTCCTCCTCCCATTATGCTAAAGTCTAAACACAAGCGGTTGCCTCTCGGTGGTAATATCTCTAATCAGCATGCCTCCACCTCAATACATGAAATAGCAAATGTGCATCTAACTATCTCTCTTAGTTTAATTATTTCCACTCTGCTGATGTTGATGTAGACATACCAGTCTAGCTTGTTTCCAAACAATAACAAAAAATGTGCAGTTCTTTGCCCAGGCTATAGTGTGTATATCATGGATTCTACAGGCTTGCAGCTACAAGTATTTTTTAAGCACCAACATTTTTGTTGTTTTGTGTAAAAAATATAATAAAAAATATAACAGGGTATTTCATAGTGATTGGGAAAATTGGTAACGTTCTGATATTTTGTCAGCTTCTTTGATGAATTTAAACTTTTCTGTTTTAGAGCTCTAGATTATATAAAGTTGTAAAATTAGCATGACTCATTGCTTCATTGTTTTTATTGCTTCATGCACTATTTTCCCTATGACTGAACCCTGATCATATGCCTTGTGAAACAGGAAGTCTCATACAGTCTTTGAAAGTATGAAATCTACATAGTTTGGCATTAATATATATATATATATATATATATATATATATATATATATATATATATAATTTTTTTTGTGTGTGCTAAACAGTATATGACTCAGAGCATGTACATAGCAATAGTAGAAAATAATGGAACAGATGTAGTTGACATTCAGTGTGATGGTAGAATGGGTAGAACTATTATTTAGGCCCCTTCCCTTTGTTGATTATAGTCTACTACAGCATATACAGAGTGGAAGTAGTAGTATGGCCCCTTGCTGTGTGCCTCCATGGGCTGGTGAGAGAGAGATCAAAGATCTCCCTCACCGGCCCACAGACAGGGAGGCAGGAGAGGACTTGGGGAGCTCTTGCCAGCAGCAGGGTTTCCTCTCACAAGGTCGGAGCGTTGCCGCGGCAATGCTCAGATCTCATGAAAGTGAACTCTAGCCCTGCAGGCTAGAGTTCACTCACCACTAGGACCAACAGGGATCAGGTATGGCAGCAAGGATCCCCCTTCTCAGGCAAAAGGTAAGAAGGGAGGGGGGCTATTTTCTAATCTGCCCCCTACCCCCACACACAAACCCTCCAAACAAATTCACGCACACACACACACACACACACACAGCACCCTCACATACATAGCACCCTTACATACAGCAACCTCACACAGCACCCTCACACGCACAGCACCCTCACATACACACAGCACACTAACAACACGCACAGCAGTGTATGTATGCATGTATGTGTGTATATATATATATATATATATATATATAGATGAATGAAAAAAGTGCTAGGTCTTGTAAAAAACTTCTCAGGTTTATTCCAACAGTCAGTCAACGTTTCAGTTCTATCAGAACTTTCTTCAGGACATTTATGAATTGAAACGTTGACTGACTGTTGGAATAAACCTGAGAAGTTTTTTACAAGACCTAGAGTGCTGGCTTTTCTCATTCATCCATTCATCGTGCAGCCGAGCACCAGGCAACAGGGCCGGACTGGGAGAAAAATTCGGCCCGGGCATTTTTTTAACACAGCGGCCCACTAAAAAGGGGGCGGGGCAGAGGAGGTGTGTTTTGTCATCACCAATGACAAACACGCTTCCTCTCAAAGTGAGCATGTTGGTTCAATGCTCTTCCAGGGCAGACCATGCGCAGAGCTCTGCTGAAGAGCTCTAGCATGAGAAAAAAGTCCTGTATTTGTTCTGCACAGTGCAAGCAACTTTAATAACATGCTTGCACTGTGTTTCCTTGCAACTTGTCTCTGGTGTCTCTATAAATGGATACCAGGAGACAAAAGGCCAGGAAAGAGTATTGTGCATGTGTTTTGAGCCTGCTTGTGGTATTGCGTGTGTGTAGAGTGAGCTGGTCGTGGTGTGGTATTGTGTAATAAGGTCGGTTTTAGTCGTGTTGTGTTTGTGGTGTAATGTGATGCATATGTGGCTCAGGAACCCCCTCCCGCACGGCTCTGGAAAGGGGTTAAAACTTACCTTTTTCCAGCGCCGGGCTGGGAGCTCTCCTCCTCCGATCCGCCCCGTCGGCTGAATGCGCACGCGCGGCAAGAGCTGCGCGCGCATTCAGCCGGTCGCATAGGAAAGCATTTATAATGCTTTCCTATGGACGCTTGCGTGCTCTCACTGTGATTTTCACAGTGAAAAGCACGCAAGCGCCTCTAGCGGCTGTCAATGAGACAGCTGCTAGAGGCTTTGGGGGAAGGCTTAACCCATTGATAAACATATTTAAACACATATGTTTATAAAACAATGGGTTAACCCTAGAAGGACCTGGCACCAAGACCACTTCATTAAGCTGAAGTGGTCTGGGTGGCTAGAGTGGTCCTTTAAGAGTGTAGTGTGTGTGTGTGTATGTATATGTATATGTGTGTGTGTGTGTGTGTGTATATATGTGTATATATATTTGGAAGTATTGTGTGTTGGGGGGGTTCTGTGTGTATGTGAGGGGTGCAGTATGTGTGTGTGTGAGGGTGCGGTGTATGTGTGTGTGTGAGGGTGCCGTGTGTGAGTGATGGGTGTGAGAGTGCCGTGTGTGAGTGATGGGTGTGTGAGTGCTGTGTGAGATGGGTGTGAGAGAGTGCTGTGTGAGAGTGCTGTGAGAGAGTGCTGTGTGTGTGTGAAAGTGCTGTGTGTGATGGGTGTGAGAGTGCTGTGTGTGTGTGAGTGCTCTGTGAGAGTGCGCTGTGTGTGATGGTGTGAGAGTGCTGTGTGTGAGAGTGCTGTGTGTGATGGGTAAGAGAGTGCTGGGTGTGAGTGATGGGTGTGAGAGTGCTGTGTGAGAGTGCTGTGTGTGATGGGTGTGAGAGTGCTGTGTGAGAGAGTGCTGTGTGTGATGGGTGTGAGAGTGCTGTGTGAGAGAGTGCTGTGTGTGATGGGTGTGAGAGTGCTGTGGGAGAGAGTGCTGTGTGTGATGGGTGTGAGAGTGCTGTGTGTGATGGGTGTGAGAGTGCTGTGTGTGTGTGAGTGCTCTGTGAGAGTGCGCTGTGTGTGATGGTGTGAGAGTGCTGGGTGTGAGAGTGCTGTGTGTGATGGGTAAGAGAGTGCTGGGTGTGAGAGTGCTGTGTGAGAGTGCTGTGTGTGAGAGTGCTGTGTGTAATGTGTGAGAGAGTGCTGTGTGTGATGGGTGAGAGTGCTGTGTGAGAGAGTGCTGTGTGTGATGGGTGTGAGAGTGCTGTGGGAGAGAGTGCTGTGTGTGATGGGTGTGAGAGTGCTGTATAAATGTTATTGTGTGTGTGTGTAGGGGGGGTAAATAAAAAAAATAAAAAGTCATTATTTCCCCCCCTCCCTTCTTACCTTTAGCCTGGGAGGGGGGGGTCCGGCACGCTGGAAGGCGGGGTGGCAGTGTTCCCTGGTGGTCCTCGTGGGTGAGTGAACTCTAGCCTGTGAGGCTAGAGTTCACTCTCGCGAGATCCGGTCGTTGCCATGGCAACGCGCCAGATCTCGCAAGAGGAACCCGGCGGGGCTGCAAGTTAGAGCTCCGCCGGGTCCTCTCTCCAGCCTGGCTGGCTGTCTCCCTCCCTCCCCGCCGGCGGCCGCATGTGGGCCGGTGAGGGAGATCTTTGATCTCCCCACCGGCCCGTCGTGACAAACAGCGGGGCCGGCGCTAGGAGAGTGCCGGCCCTGCATAGACCGGCAGGGGAGATCCTGTGATCTCCCCTGCCGGCCTCGGCCCATGGCCACCGCGGCCCACCGGGCATTTGCCCGGTGTGCCCGATGGCCAGTCCGGGCCTGCCAGGCAACACTTTAAGGGATAGCTGAAGTGCAAAATTGTTTGGTATTGTGTGTATATATATATATATATATATATATATATATATATATATTGCTTTCATTTACATTATATATATATATATATATATACATACACACCGACGCCTATGGGTATAAGAGACATTAGTCAAACCTCAATAGAGACATATCAACGTATAGTGATGTACCGAACGGTTCGCCGGCGAACGGTTCCTGGCGAACATAGCATGTTCGCGTTCGCCACGGCGGGCGAACATATGCGCGGTTCGACCCGCCCCCTATTCGTCATCATTGAGTAAACTTTGACCCTGTACCTCACAGTCAGCAGACACATTCCAGCCAATTAGCAGTATTGTGCCTCCCTAGCAGACCCTCCCACCTACTGACAGCATCCATTTTAGATTCATTCTCAAGCTGCATGCTTAGTAAGAGGAGTGGGAAAAGCGTAGGCTGCTGTTCATAAGATAGGAAAAGTATAGCTAGGTTAGGGATAAGGGTATGCTTTTTTTTAATTTTTTTTTCTATTTAATGTAATTGCACTTAGTTGTCTGCCACTGCTGCCAGCTTCTGCGTCAGGCTCACAGTGCATACTGTGCCCATTTCCCCAGTCAGTGCCACCACTTATATCTGGTGTCACAATAGCTTGGATTTAAAACAAAAAACTTTTTTCACTGTTATAGATTGAATAGCAGTCAGTTGTCTGCCACTGCTGCCAGCTTCTGTGTCATGCTCACAGCGGATACTGTGCCCATTTCCCCAGTCAGTGCCACCACTTATATCTGGTGGTCACAATAGCTTGCATTT